TCAAGTGTTTCACAATTTCAAATTACTGTTTGCCGACGGTGCGGCCTCAAAATGTCTTGCACGCAAAATACTGATATTGGTGATCTTCATTTAGGCGACGGCACATTGGTGAATTACTACGTGCCCCCCGTGCGCTATCGAGATTTGGAAATGGGCTAGCAGCAATAATCATTCGCCAGCGAGCAGGTGTTTTCACCGTGTTTAACTTGGCGGTGGCGTCGTAAACAACTGCCACGCCGCACTGACCAAGCGAAATTTAAAGAAACCAGGCGTACCACCACTCCTCTTCACTGTTCCCAGAATTCATCTCGCCATGACCTTTTGCCCCATCCCTCCCCCTAGTGCAGAAGAAAACGGTTCTAGTGCAGCACCAGGCTGGCCACAGCCGGGGAAGCTGCGGCTTCCCCCCCTCCTCTGCATGACATGGGGGCCATCTCCCCCGACACCCCCCCATCGAGAGGTGAGGGGGACCGTGGAGGCCTCCCGAGCTCCCCCGGGGCCAAGAAACGTCGATCCCGGATCCCCGACTCTCACGCGTAGGCTGGTCGGGAAGGAGCCGCACAGTTGTTGCGACCCTGTGGGCTCACGGCGATCTGGCATAACAGATCCAGACTGCACGAAGAAGATCAATCTCGAGCTTACCACCGTGGCATACCAAGCAGGAGTAGGCGGCGCGAAGAAGATGGGAAGAGTTGGGAATGGCCTTTGGGGTACATCGCCGATCTATCGGCGATGTATCGCCGGTCCCAGGCAGATGGTTACCCCCTGTGCCAGCCCCGGCATCAAGACCGTGAGGGTCTGTATATGAACGCAGGAGGAGGAGGATCAAGGAGGAGAATCGAGGAGGAGGAGGAGGAGGAGGAGGATCGAGGAGGAGGATCGAGGAGGAGGAGGGAGAGAGGGAGGAGGAGGATCGAGTGGGAGATGGAGGAGGAGAATTGCTCGTCGATCGTGTGAGTCTCCTTCGAGCGGGTGGTAATGTGAGACGACCTGCAAGGGGGGGAGAAGAAAGGGGCCCTAACGGGTCTTTGTTCCCATATACAAGGGATGGGTGTCTTGCTATTGCTCCGACCGCTCCGAGGCGGAACACTCCGCCCACTCACCTCCCTCCTCCTCTTCCTCACCCAGATTCACACTCAGACGTTATGACATGGCATGGCATGTTATGCTATGCTATGGTATGGTGTGGTATGGTGTGGTACGTTGTGTGGTGTTATGGTACGGCATGTGATGTTTTGATCTTATATGGTATGGTATCGTATGCTATGGTACGTTATGGTTTGTCATGGTATGCTATGTTGTGTTAGGGTGATGGTGATGGTGCTGAATAGTATGATGATGGTGATGGTGATGCTGATGCTGATGAGGTTGATGATGTTGATGATACTGATGATGCTGATGATGATGGTGATGGTGGTGAGGATGATGAGCATGATGCTGACAGTGATGATGATGCTGACGATGCTGATGGTGATGATGGTGGTGATGATGATGGTTGTGGTGGTTGTGAATGTGATGATGCTGATGCAGATGACGATGATGATGATGCTGATGATGCTGATGAGGATGCTGATGATGCTGATGCTGATGCTGATGCTGATGCTGATGATGATGATGATGATGATGATGATGATGATGATGATGATGATGATGATGATGATGCCAAAAGTGATGATGCTGGCGGAGCAAATTCTGAGGATGTCTCGAGCAAGGCGCGGGTTTCAGCACTCACAACGGGGAGCCGCCAGTGGGTGTTGCACTTTTCCGTTCGCTCCAAAACGGCGGGGAAGTCTCGAGCGGTTTGCCCGTTTGTGGTCTCAATATCTTCCGCTGTCGGAGCCGATTGTGAGAATGTCTCGAGCGAAGCGCTGGTTTTTGCCCCCAAGGTGGGGCCGCCAGGGTGTATTGCATTTGTCTGTTCGCGCCAAAGTTCCCAACATCCGTCGCTTTCGGAGCAGATTTTGAGGATGTCTCGAGCGAGGCGCTGGTTCTCGCACCCTTGGTGGCCCAGATTGTGAGGACGTCTCGAACGGTTTGCTTGTTTTGCTGGCCAGACTCGTGGGCACGGATCCTCTTAAAGATGCCACAGGAGGCTCCAGCAGATTCCAGGAGGCCCCTGGAGGCCACAGGATGTCCCAGGAGGCATCGGGAGGCCACGGGAGGCCACAGGAGGCCACAGGAGGAGGCCCCATGAGGCCCCAAGAGGTTCCAGGAGGCCCGAGGAAGCACCAGGAAGCCCCAGGAGGCGACAGGAGGCCACAGGAGGCCACAGGAAGCGCCAGGAGGCACCAGGAGGCCCCCGAAGGCCCAGGAGCCCCCACGAGGCCCCAGGAGCAGGAGGCCTCAGAAGGCCACAGGAGTGGCTCCAATCCCCGGTGTGTTACGTATGTTCCCATCTATTGGGCCTCCCCTGGAATACGAACCCTTGGTGTTTTACGTACGTTTCTATAGATGGTCCTTCTTTTTGCGCATCCATTCCTGAATGTTTTACGTATGTTCCTACAGAGTGGGTTTCCCTTTGGGGCACGAGTCCTTGGTATTTTTACGAGTGTTCCTATACATGTATAAATATATATATATATATATATATATATATATATATATATATATATATATATATATATATGTATTGCCCCTCTCCTGCGGCTCCAATCCGAAGTGTTTTATGTCTGTTCCTGTAGATTGGGCTTCTCCTGACACGCGAATCCTCCCCAGGATGTCCCAGGAGGCTCCTGGAGGCCACACGAGGCCCTAGGAGGCCTCAGGAGGCAACAGGAAGTCCAAGGAGATTTCAAGGCCAGGGAGGGGGTTCCGGCGCGGATCCAAGAAGTCCGCGCGTAGCGCCAAAAGTTTGTGTTTATGCCGTTGTCTCTTCTTCTAGATACCCAAGTCAACGCGTCAGCTTCTACAGCAGGCAGTCCGCGTCGAGGCAGCAGCACTGCATCACTAATCACGGAACGAACTGCGAACGTGACGATGTTATCACGTGTAGCGAAGGCTTTGATACAAAAGAAGACTGTTGGATAGTATAGCCTATGTCAGCGCATTACTGTTCCACATCGGAATCCGTTGTCTCGTCCCCGTTTCTTCTGACGAGGGTGGTGCACGAAAGGAGACACTTGGTATACCTCGCCGCCAACCGAAACACGTCACACCCCGGGGGCTGACATGATGGCATGTGTTTCAACAGTACGCATAATTCACACATGCAGCCCGACATTCGCCAAGGATGAGGAGGAGGAGGAGGAGGAGGAGGAGGAGGAGGAGGAGGACAACAGGTGCAAATGGCAAATCAATAATGCTACCCGGTTGCATGGGGTAGTCTCCCTTGAAGCACGCTTCGGTCATGCGTCTTTGACGCAGACTGGACGCGCCGTGTATCACAGCGAGTGCGGAAACGCAGACCATGAGCAGGAGCCATCTCGTCGATCTGACTGGACGCAGGGGCATCGTCCCCAGCATTTACCCCAGAGTCAAAGTAGTTATCGCTATTGATGTCGTTCTCGTCCGAAGTGTTGTTCGCCTCCTCCGAGAGCTCAGAACTAGTATGTTCCAGCAGCCCCAAGCACCACGCCTCGGATTGCCCTTCGACCTGGCGCTGGATGTCATTTAATTTCCCATGGGCCACTATGGTGTGGAGTCTTGCTTCATCACGTTCGCGCCGCAAACGGTGAATCTCCTCGTGCTGCCGAACAGTCATGTCCGCCAGCGTACCATGCAAAGGTATTAGTTGGTCCGCAGTCGCAACGAGCTTATTGTCCAAATCTGCAAACTTGTCCGTGAGAGCCCTGTCGATGGACGCCGTGACCTTCTCAGTGAGAGTGCTGTTGATAGACGGATCTTGCTGCGCCCACCTGGCAACCTACGTGCTGCCATACCCGTAGAGACAACATTGGCATCCAGTCCGTCCTCAAGCGGAGCCGTACAACTCGTCATCACGCTGAGCCGAACCCGCTGCCTAAGCGCCCGTCCTTACGTTCATTCCGCATGGACGTGCTGAGCCAAAGTGGCTTGAGCCTGCAGGGCCCCTTGAGGAAGGAGCCAGCAGGGCCCTTTCCTCCAGCCCCCGAGCAGGTCCCCCCCCCCATCACCACCCGCCCGAGCGATACTCCTCCTCGTCTCCCTCCCCCTGGCCTGTCAGGTGGAAGGCCGACCCGAGCAGGTGGCCAGCCCTTCCCGAGTGAACTTTGAGGGACAGCGGCTCTCTTCAGCCCCTTGCCTCGCTCTTGGCTTCCGCTCCCTTCTCTTTGTGTCTACAGTGCCGTTTTTAATATATGCTCCGCGTGCGGATCATGAATAAAAATGCAGGGATTTAGTTAAAGAACAACGATGAGTTCATGCATGCATTTAGTCATACATTGAGCATGTATTATAATCCTATATCTAACAAAAAATCCCATGTATTTTAAATTGGCCAGCACATCTTCCTCATTCCCCTCTGACCTCGGCTCACTGGACCGCCAGTGCAAGTCTACCCGGGTCGTGTTGGCGGCGCAGAGGGGGGGGGGCGGGCCTTCTCGGAAGGCTTCCAGTCGGCCAACACAGTAAGGATAGGCATCCCTCCCAAGGGTACCCTTGCATCCTTGCCTCCTGGGTCCATCCCTGGACACTTCCGTTGGCCGCGCACCGCTCGGAACGCTTCGAAATGGGCGTCCAGGGCCCTTGCATCCTCATCGCGCATCCCTACTATACCTCGTGGACTGTGGAAGGCTCCCAGTCTTCTGAGAAGCGTCCTAAGCTCAGGAGGGAAAAAACACACAGACACAATTAATCGCCGATTCCCCAGAAAATATGGGAACATCCGGGCAGTGGGGGGGGAAGCCAGAAACCCAGAACATACGGGAAACTATGGGGCGTATTTTGATTTGTGTGAATTTATTTGTGTGTCCTGGGGCCCCTTCATTAGCCTCCTTCGAAGAGGCAGCGGGCCTCTCCGAGGGGCCCGTCCCCTCTCTCGCCTTCGCCCTCGGCGCGCCGCCGACTTCTGGGCCCCCGCGCAGGCCACCCCGACCCTCCCGAGCGCCGCCTGCGCCTCGCCCAGCGCGCCGCCACGGGAGGAGCCCTCCTCGGCGCAGATGCGAGCCAGACGGCAGACCGACTCCTCCGCCTCCTCCTCCTCCTCCTCCTCCTCCTCCTCCCCCTCCTCCCCTCCTCCTCCTCCTCCTCCTCCTCCTCCTCCTCCTCCTCCTCCTCCTCCTCCCCCTCCTCCTCCTCCTCCTCCTCCTCCTCCTCCTCCTCCTCCTCCCCCCCTCCTCCTCCTCCTCCTTCTCCTCCTCTACTTCTCCTCCTCCTCCTCCTGCTCCTCCTCCTCCTCCTCCTCCTCCTCCTCCTCCTCCTCCTCCTCCTCCTCCTCCTCCTCCTCCTCCTCCTCCTCCCCCTCCTCCCCCTCCTCCGGCGGCGTCGAGGGTCGAGGACGACGGCGTCGGGGGCGGCGGCGGTGGCGACGACGACCAGCCGCAGACGACGGCGGCGGCGGCGATGGCGGCGGCAGCGACAGCGATGGCGGCGACGGCTGGAGGGAGGTGGGAAGGAGGGGGGAGGGGGGCGTTGTCGACGGAGGAGTGGAGGGAGCGGCGGCGGCGATGACGACGGGGAGTAAACGACGACGGAGACGGTGTCGACGACGACGGCGAGGCGCCGACACCGCTGACGGCGAGCAGCCGGCGACCACGGCGGCGGCATGGAGTAGCAAGGCAAGGGAAAGACTTGGGCAGCGGCTGCCTCCTGCTACAGTGGGACCAGGAATATGAGCTCGAGGTCCGCTCGGGGGGGGTACCTCAGCGTTCTTCGTGGTTGTTGGATGCTCTCGTGCACCCTGGGAAGGGCACCTGTTTGTTCTGGCCGACTGAGGGTCTCATGTGCTCGAGGGACGTTCGCCTGGCCCAGGTTCGATTGCACGTTGGCTCACCACTGCCGAGTGAGAGCTGTAGCCATGACGACGTGCTGTTGGCAACTTCGGCGCGCGCCTCGGGCGAGCCTGCGGGACCTGCGCAGCCCAGGAGGGGCCTCCAAGGCCCTGCGCTGGCGCGGAGGAGCACCGCACCATTGGAAAGCTCACAGGCTGCGAGGCGTAGACGACTCGGCAACGGCAACGGCTGCAGGGAGGTGGGAGGGAGGGGTGATGGAGGAGGGTTGTTGACGAAGGAATGGAGGGAGGGGAGGAGGGTTGAGGGCCGGAAGCGTGGGGAGATGGGAAAAATGGATGCAGGGAGGGTCGGGGGAGGAGAGAGAATGGATGGAGGGGATGGATGGAGTGAAATGGAGGAGAGGAGCAAGGGAAGAAGGGGGCTGGATGATGACGGACCAGGGACGAGCGAGCAGGGACAAGGGATGATTAATTCTTTACGCTTCGCGTATCCCCACCAGCCCATCTCACAGCAGCAGCTCTCGCGAAGCATGTCGACAGTTGTGTTTTTCAGGCGTGTGTCCGCTGGGCTCCGTATATCTCCCCTGTCCCTCCTTCCTCCCGCCTCCTTGTGAATCCTCCTTGTGGGGGGAGCGGGAGAAGGACGAGGCGGAGGAGGAGGGAGAGAAAGCGCTCCTCGTGATTTGAGTCGTTTGGGGTTTCTCGTCCTGGTGTGAGTCGTTCGGGCCCTTCTTCCTGGTGTGAGTCGTTCGGGCTCTTCGTGGTGTGAGTCGTTCGGGCTCTTCGTCCTGGTGTGAGTCGTTCGGGCTTCTCGTGGTGTTAGTTGTTCGGGCCCCTCATCCTGGTGTGAGTCGTTCGGGCCCCTCCTCCTGGTGTGACTCGTTCGGGCTCCTCGTGGTGTGAGTCGTTCGGGGCGCGCGTCATGGTGTGACTCGTTCGGGCTCCTCGTGGTGTGAGTCGGTCGGGCGCCTCCTCCTGGTGTGACTCGTTCGGGCTCCTCGTGGTGTGAGTCGTTCGAGGCCCGCGTCGTGGTGTGAGGCGTTCGGGCTCCTCGTGGTGTGAGTCGGTCGGGCGCTTCGTCATGGTATGAGTCGTTCGGGCCCCTCCTTGTGGTGTGAGTCGTTCGGGCTCTCCGTGGTGTGAGTCGTTCGGGCCCCTCGTCCTGGTGTGAGTCGTTCGGGCTCCTCCTGGGGCCTCTTGGGAGCCTCTTGGAGGCCTCTTGGGGCCTCTTGGGGGCTTCTTGGGGGCCTCTTGGGGGCCTCTTGGGAGCCTCTAGGGGGCTCTGGGGGCCTCGTGGGGGCCTCTTGGGGGCCTGTTGGGAGCCTCTGGGGGCCTCTTGGGGGCCTCTTGGTGGCCTCTTGGAGGCCTCTGCTGGCGACGCGGGTGCGGCGCGCCGCGGGGCCCTCGAGGCGGCCCGCGGCGCGCTCCTGGCGGCGCACGCTGCCAGCGGCCTCGCAGGTGTGGCGGTGTCCCGCGACGGGACCCGCCTCTTGCGGGCCGCCGAGGGCCTCCTCCGCGCGGCCATCGCAGAGCTCGGCGCGCGGGCAGCGCCCGCCCCGCCGGCGCCGGCAGCTGAGGGCCGCCCTGGGCGGCGCAGCCGGCCGCGCGGCCGTGCCGGGCGTGGCGCTGGGGCTCCGCCTGGCGCGCAGGGCGACCGCGATGGCGACGACGTGGAGGAGCGGGGCGGGGGTGCGGAAGGTGTAGCACGGGCTGCTGGAGCGCTGGGTGGGGCCCCAAGCGTGACGGCGGCGGCGCAGGCTCGGCGGCGGGGACGCCGCGCGCGGCGTGCGCGGGCGTCGGAGGCGGCAGCGGCGGTGGCCGAGCTGCCCGACGACGACGGCGGTGGCTCCCTGGACGACTCCTGGGCGGACGGGCTCGGCAGGGCGCCCGACGTGGGGGGGGCGACGGCGACGGCAGCAGCGGTGGAGCAGGCGGAGGCGGCCGCGGGAGCGGCAGCTGGAGCCAGCGGAGCGGCTGCGAGCGGCGGGGTGGCCGCTGGGGGGGCAGGCGCGGGCCTTCGGTTCGTGCAGGTGCCGCTGGCGGGGCCGCCCGTCGCCGAGGGCGAGGACGAGGAGAGGGAGCTGTCGCCTCCTGTCGGTGGTGCCGTGTCCTGGGCCGTGTGGCCGCCCCCGCTTGGCGCGCGGTTGCGCGCTGTGCAGGGCCCCTGGGAAGGGCGCGAGGGCGTGGTGATGACCGTGGGCTCGGCCGCCGTGACGGTCAGGCTCGACAGGCTCGCCGTGCCGAAGGGCAAGATCGTCCCGATCTTCCTCGACGACCTGGCGGGGTCGTGGGAGGCTCTCGACTGAGGGCCAGCCTCCAGCGTGGCGGAGTCCGCGGCGTTGGATCAGGGGTGAAAAAAAAGGCCTCTTGGAGGCCTCTTGGGAGCCTCCTGGGGGCATCTTGGGGCCTCTTGGGAGCCTCGTGCGACCTCCTCAGAAGCGCAAATGAGCGCTACCCCCTGAGAAGGACAAGATGAGCCCAAAACCCTCGTAAAATTAATGGTTTTGCTATGAAGGAAGATGAGCGCGGCCCCCTCGGGAGGCCAACATGGGGCCAAAACCCTCGTACAAGCAAGGATTTTGGCTTCACGGAAGAGGAGGGGGCTACAAGAGCGCCCCCCCGTCGGGGCCAGAATCCTCGTGAGGGTCGTCGTTTTTGGCCCTCCCAGGCGTCGAAAAAGAACCCCCTGACCACCCGCGGGACTCCCTGTCCAGGCCCAGGGGGAGGGGGTAGGGGGAGGGGTAAACCCCTCCCCGAAGGGGAAGAAGGGGGGTTGGGGGGTTGAGGACAGAGGGGGCTCTCTAAACCACTCACGCCCAAAGGGCTGGTGGGATTTCAGGAGGAGGGAGGAGGGAGGTTTAGGATGAGCACGGGTCCGGGGAGGAGGAAGGATGAAGGGGGAGGAGGAGGAGGAGGAGAAGGACGACGAGGATGGATAAAGGGTAAACCAAGGATGCTTCACGGCTGCTGCAATGCTCTCTCACGTTAGAAGCACCCTCCTCACCAGTCCCCGCAAACATTTCCTTTCATTGCGGAATGCGCCCTCTTGAAAGACAAATGCCGCATTTGCAGGCGATGCCATTCCAATGACAGCCGTATTTTGAACAGGTTTCGTCCTTCGTCGTTTTAGTTTGGTATACTCGTAAAGTTCAAGGATGTAGCCAGCGGTAGTCCCGTTGCCGAACTGATCGCCCTTCACTCGCACAGCTTCTGCACGCTCAAAGTCTGGTACGACGATCTGGGGGGTCTCACGCAGGAGCCCAACTTCGAAGAAAAGTGCCTTGCATGCGCGTAGCTGTTGCATAATGCTCCTGTGTTGGCCATACGGTCTGAGGAAATCGAATGCGAGAGCCCCATTCTGAAAACGCGCCGCCCTTCGCCCGTGCACGTGTACAGCCGATTACACGTGCGGCGCGAAGGCGAGAGCTTCTTCTTGGAAAGGAACCGTTCAAGCCGAAGGCGCGCGGCGCCAAGGCGCCAAGCCCCATGTGGAAGCGGCCCCCTCCGCCGTCCATGAAGCTGCAGCAAGCGGTTGGGACCCATGGGGGCGGCGCAAAGGCCACGGCCACGCTGCGGAAAGCGTGCTGCCCCGCGCCCGTGCGCCGCGCTGGCAGGCCGAGCCCGAGCAGACATGGTGAGGGCGCCTCCGGCGAAGCGCACCACCCGCCCCGCAGACCTGCGCGGTGGCGCGGCGAGGGGGAGCCGCGCATCAGGGAACGAGGGGGGGAAGCATCCGGGTGCGCAGGGCGGGACAGCAGGCGCAGAGGCGGGGCCCCTCAGGAGCCCCGCGCGGCGCAGCCGCCGGCCTGGGACACGCCTGCGCCCGCCAGCGGGCAGCACAGCCCCCTGGCGGCCGCCCAGCTGGAGGCGCAGGCTTGGGACAAGGTCTTGCTGGCCTCAAGCCTGCAGGCCTGCCCAGGGGTGGATCTCAAGCAGTGGCGAAGCGTCCCGGCTTGCCTATACAGGCCCACCGAGGGATGTTCCAAGAACCTTGTCTGTGGTTTGCACGAGCTGTTCCTAGAACACTTCTGGCCAAGTCTGCCTCGTTGTGTCGCACCCCGCTTCTGCTCTAGGAGCACGGTCTTGTTCTTAGAACACTCCTGGATTCTGAGAACATGTCGTGGTAGGCCTCTAGAAATGCCGGGACGGCCGGTCCCTGCCCCACGATCGAGCGCCGGCGCGCACCGGGAGGGGGCGTGAGAGGGGGGCCGGCCTTCTCCGAAGGCGGCGGGGCCGCGCCGCTCGGACGCCCCTCCCTGGCCCCGCTGGGGGGCCCCTGCTGCGCCTGCGGAGAGGGCGCGGAGAGGCTCTGAGCAGGCCGGGGGTCTCCCGAGCCTCCCGAGAGAGGGCCCGCCCCCTGCTGCCTTCCCCGCCGGGCGGGCCGCCTGGCTGTGGCCACAGCACACCCCTGGACAGGCCTGGGGAGGGGGGGGGGCGATTTGTGGAGGCAGAGTCTCCGACGTGTTGGAAAAAGTAGGTGTGCACTGGGGGCGGGGAGGCATCTTGGGGCGAGGGGTCGTCATGGGAGGGGGCGGTTCGGCCGCGCAAGTGGCTCAGAGCCCTCCTCTGGATGTGGGATGCTGCTGGCAGGGTGCAATGCAACTTGGCCAATTACATATGCAGCTGGATTCGATTCCACCGCCGGGTTCTACCTTCATGTTTCCTCGCTGCATGGCCGCCTCTGGCGCCAAGAGGCGCCAGGAACACCAGCTGCATGTAGCTGATTCCCCCCCCCCTGGATTGTACTCGTTCGTTGCGGGGATGTATGCACGACCACCGCCCGGGGGATCGATCTCCGGGGGCCTCGGCAGGTGGTGGATGTGAATATCCTTGGGGGTGGCCAAGTACAGTCAGACCCAGGTATAAGAACGAGGTCGGTTCGGGGAGGGTATGTGCCCTATGATGCTCTTCGTGCTCGCTGGTTGTTCTTGTGCACCCTTGGGAGGGTACCATTGGATGTCCTTTGCGGTTTGGCCAGTGGAGGGTCCCGTGTTCTTGAGGGACGTCTTTCTGGCGCCCAGGTTCGATTGCACGTCGGCTCACCATTGCTGGGTGAGAGCCGTAGCCATGACGACGTGCCGTTGGCGGATGTGCGTTCTTCGTGTCCGTTGGATGTTCTCGTGCACCCTGGGAAGGGCACCTGTTTGTTCTGGCCGACTGAGGGTCTCATGTACTTGAGGGATGTTCGCCTGGCCCAGGTTCGATTGTACAGTCGGGGCGCTGAACAAGGCACCCTTTTCGTTGGGGAGGGGCTCCGTGTTCCTGAATTGTTTCGCAGCTTGCCTCAGGTTGTCCTCAGGTTCTCGATGGGGAATCGAAGCTTAGCCTGTTGAAAAGAAAAGGGGCCTCGTGCCTTCCTTAGGGTTCCTTAGGTCAACGCCCCGACTGCACGTCGGCTCACCACTGCTGCGCGAGAGCTTCGGGCCGGGCGAAAGGGGGGGATTGGGAAAGGGGGGGTTACGATATTTGCTGCATGCAGCTGGTTTCGGCCTCACCGAGGGGCCCATTCCTCGATACATAGCCGCCTCCGGCGCCGGGAGGCGCCGGGAAAATCAGCTACGTGAGCTGATTCTCAAACCCCCCCTTTGCTATCCCCCCCTTTCCCCCCGACCCGAGAGCTGTGGCCATGACGACGTGCTGCTGGCACCGACGACGGCGCGCTCTCTGCGGGCAGGCCTGCGGGCCCCGCGCGGCCCGGCGCAGGGGCCTCCCGGGCGCCCCGCGCCGGCGCGGAGGAGCACTGCACCACCAGCACTCCTCCTCCTCCTCCTCCTCCTCCTCGTCTCATCCTCCTCCTCCTCCTCCTCCTCCTCCTCCCCCTCCTCCTCCTCCTCCTCCTCCCCTCCTGCTCCTCCTCCTCCTCCTCCTCCTCCTCCTCCTCCTCCTCCTCCCCTCCTCCTCCTCCTCCTCCTCCTCCTCCCCTCCTCCTCCTCCTCCTCCTCCTCCTCCTCCTTCTCCTCCTCCTCCTCCTCCTCCTCCTCCTCCTCCTCCTCCTCCCACGCACTTCGACTGCACATCCATGCAGGAGGACAAGAAGCACACACAGAGACACAATCCATCCTGGATTCCCCAGCAGGTGTGGGAGATTATATGGGGAGTGGGCGGCGGGAAGGCAGAAACCCAGAAGATGTGGGAGACTGCGAGGAGTATCTTTATTTGTGTGTATTTGTTTGTGTGTCCTTGGGCCCCTTCATCCACGTCCACCGCCCGCCGAGGTCCCCGAAGGTCGGTCCCCGCGGGCGGTGGTTCGTTCTGGAGTCGGGTCCTGCCTCGCGCGCTCCTCCGCCCCGACTGCCCGGATGGCACTCCGCTGTGGAGCGATCGAAATGGATACAGTCGGGGCGCTGCAGAAGGAACCCTTTTCGTTGGGGAGGGGCTCGGTGTTCCTTGAATGTTATGCAGTTTGCCTTCGGTTTTCCTGAGGTTTTTACCTAACAGCGAAGACTGATAGGTTTCTAGTTGACTCAAAAGAGCTCACAGATCACTCCACAGGGGGGTCCGGGCAGGTGTTGGGGAGTTGCCGGGCGGCAGGGTGCCGGGCTCGTTTTTCACCAACAGTCACACACTTCGTGCTCTTCGACTTCACAGAACTCCAGAATTCCCAGGCCACATTCTGAATACCCGGATGCAACAGTCACACACTTCGTGTTCTTCGAGATCCCAGAACGCCATTCCCGGGCCACATTTAGAATAACCAGATGCAACAGTCACACACTTCGTGCTCTTCGACATCCCAGAACGCCATTCCCGGGCCACATTCTGGAGGGCCGGATGCAACAGTCACACACTTCGTGCTCTTCGAGTTCCCAGAATTCCATTCCCGGGCCACATTTTGGATGCCCGGAGCCAACTGTAGGCCACTTCCTGGTCTTCGAGTTCCCAGAACTACATTCCCGGGCCACATTTTGAATAGCCAGACGCTTCGTAGTCCTTCCGCCACAGCCGTGTTTGGTTCAGGAATTGCTAGTGACACTGCAGTCCACTGCATTCAATCGTGCCACTGCATTCACTCACTGCAGTCCACTCAGTTTCGATTGCAATGGCGTTCCCCTGGCCGTACCCCCATACCCAACGTTCATCCGCAGCCTCTGCTCCGCGAGGCTCGTCCGAAGTGTCGCCGCCTCGCGGTGCTTCTCAGCCTGCGCCGCCTCGCGGTGCTTCTCAGCCTGCGGAGGAAGGTGGACAGACGCCTGGTTCTGGCGCTGTGCAGCCTGCGTCTTTCACGGTCGCCTCGTTCAATTTCGGGTTCGAGCAGGGCATGATGACTGGTAAGCAGGCGGCCACTCACTGCGCTAACTTCGGAAGGGTGTGCGCCACGATAGTGGAGACCGCTGATGCTGATATTGTCTGTGGCTGCGAGGTCGGTGCGTTCCGTGAAGGCTTTCGCCGAGCAGGGATCAACGTGACAGAGATCCTCAGTAAGCCTTTCGGTGATGGCATTCGCTTCTCGGAGGTCGACAACTACTTGACTCTCTGGGGGTTCCGCGGTGCTTCTCAGCCTGCGGAACTGACTCTGTGCGAAGACAGCAAAGTTTACAGGCCTCCTAGCGGCCGAGAGATTGATGCTGTTATTTCACATTTTGAGGTGAACAAACCAGGCCATGACAAGTTCCACGTGGTGATCGCCAACATGCACATCGTGTGCGGCAAGAAACCGCCGACCATCCAGACTCGAAAGCGGACAGTTCGCAATCTCCGCTTGCACCTGGACTGCCTGGGAAAGATTCTTGAGAATCTGAGCCAGGCAGTCGTTCTGCTTGTAGTCGGCGACGACAACCTCACTTTCCAGGAGGCGCGGGAGGCTTACCAGCGCCAGCAGAACGACGAGAAGCTCTGGGAGGTCCATGCCACTCCGGCCGACCTCAAAGGCGACCACGTCGCGGTCTGCGGAGCAGTCGCCCGTTTCTGCTCCATTGCCGTTGGCGCGTCTTTTACGGATCGTGGCATGCGCAACGACGCACACGATGCGGTGGCGGTTGTGCTCACTCTCCCTGGTGCTATTCAGCCTGGGGAGAGCAAGAGGCGGAAGATTGTCGTCGAAAACGTCTCCGACGCCGACGTCAGCGTACAGGCGGACGCCGAGTCTTCTGTGCATTGGGATCGGTCGCCGAGTTCTACTCCTCCGCTTTCACCGACTTCACCGGGTGATCTCGACTACGTCGAGGATGTCGTTCAGAATCGCGCGAACGACTTGCACGGGGAGCTGAGGCAGCTTTGGGGCGACAGGTACGACGAGGAGTACGATCCGAAAGTCCTCCATCATCTCAGTCTCTTGCTTTTCAAAAAGAGGAAGTCCACGGAGCCAGCGGACACTAATCCAGCTGGCGCTCCTCAGCTTGGCTCGGAATATGACACGGCCTTTGCGTCTCAGGAGGAGACTGGCCGAGCCATTCTCTCTGTCCTTAAGCTTCGACATGACTTTCTGCGGAGCAAGAACATCGACGACATGCGCTGCGTTCTCACGGAGCCTGAGCGCCAGGAGTTGGTCAGAGTAGCTCGCGACCAGTACGAGCAGTCGCGGCAGCAGCGTGCGCTTCAGGAACGGGATGTCGAAAAGGGAAAAGCGAGAGGCAAGTCTGCGCCACAAGGGGGCCATGCGGTTCCGCAGGGTCCTAACAAAGGGCCAGGCGGTAAGAAAGGTTCTCACGGTGCTTCTCAGCCTGCGGGAAAGGTGGCCAGGCCAAGGGTGCAGGTCTGGGTAGCGTCGCCAAGTTTGTGAAAGACCAGAAGCGTAAGCGGTGGCATCGCCATTTGCAACGTGTGGCCGGTACCAAACAGATCTGGGAGGTGCTGGCCTTCTCAGGGCGCTTCGACGTTGATTGGCTAACGCAAGCGTTGCAAGCTGATCACAGTGAGGGCCGTGATGCAGCAGTTCCCGAGGAAGC